AGGGAGGCCCGGGAGCTGGCCACTGTGGGTGACTCAGGTGAGAGAGGGGAGGCGGGAGTAGGAGAAGCAGAGTGAGGAGAGGGTTGAAGGGTGCCGGGAGGGGGAGTCTGAACAACCAGTGGATGTGAGGGGTGAGACTGCAGGAGGAATCTAGCATCCGGCTTGGGCAGCTGGGGAATGGACGAGCCGTTCACAGAGCTGGGCTAGAGGTCTCAGAAGCCGTGGGGTTCCCAGTGAGGGGATCAGTTCAAAAACCAGCAAGTCCATGTGGGATGAGAGCGGACACGGTTCCCGGAGCTCTGTGAGTGCCCTGCAGGGGAGGGCCTACCCAGGGGCAAGCAGGTGGTTGGGAAGGGCCTCTCGAGAAAGTGACATGCCCCGAGCTCTGCTCTGGAGCTGGCCAGGGGGGAAGAAGTGGGGCGGAGAAGGTGACCTGATTTGGCTGAGAACCGGCACATTCCAGCACGGCCTCCATGCTGAACAGACCGTGTCCGAGCCACATCCCTCTTCCTAAATACCCATCTCAAGTTTAGGTCATCAGCTCTCAACAAAACAGTGGGTGTATCCCTGCCCGTTACTCGTAGCAACCACCTTGCCACCTTCCACCAGCTGTCTGAAATTTCTCCAGGGCTCAGGAAGCCTTCTCAGGCAGGTCTGCCCAGACGGGCCCCTCCTAGGTCTGGGGGGGCCATTTCTAATGCACAGAGATTTCCCACTGTGTCCGAGGAGTTCAAGTGGCCCCGTCCTGCCAAAGTTTCCCTCCTCCTAATCTCTTGATTCAAAGCTGCTGGTAGTGGAAAGTAGCTTCAATGGGTTCTCTTTCCAAATCTGGGGGACTTTCCAAGTTTCCCTTGCCTCGTGGTTGGTGGCCTGGAAGGAGTCCCTACTCCCCCAGGCGTGTGAGAGAGACTGTCTTTAATGTGCCTGGAGTCCTGACCCCCACTGATAATAAAAGCAGTGTGTCCACTCATTTCCAAAGATGGCCACCACCCGTTCCTCTGCCCCTTGTAGGCCTGAGCCACACCTCCATCCTGCCTCTGTTCGCTACCTCCTTGCCTCTGGGCTGGCCTGAGAATGCACGAGAATACGACAGAGTGGTGTCGTGCCAGACCTAAGCCCGACCTTTAAGAGGACTGGCAATGTCCCCTTCCTTGTCCTCAGACCTCCAGCCACCGTGCTGTGAGGGAGCCCAAGCAGCTGCACGGTGAGGCCCATGTAGAGAACCGAGGTGCCTGCCCCAACTCCTGGCCCCCGACGACCATCCCAGCTGCGTTCCCGGCCCATATCCAGCATCCACTTGCAAGACATGAGTGAGCCGCCTTAGACGCGGATCCCCCAGGCGCAGCTGAGCTGCCCTGGGGATGCTCCGAGAAACAGAGACGACCTGTTCCTTCTCAGCCCTGGTCAAACTGCAAGATCATGGGCAAACAAATGATGGCTGTTTGAAGCCTCTGAGCTTTGGAGGGCTTTGTTACCCAGCACTAGCTCACTGACACATGCAGCCGCCATTACTGAGCACCTACCGCGTGCCAGCAGGCACTGTGCTAAATGTTCTCTAGGTACTACCTGGTTAACTTCTCACATCGACCTCATTGGAGAAGGACTTCTAGATGAGGAAGCCAAGGCTTGGGGAAATTAAATGACCCCATGCCAGGGCGCGCAACTAGTGAGTGAGAAGCTGGCTGACTCCAAAGGCCTGGCACATACATGTGAGGGGTCCAGCTCCCAGCACAAAACTCTGTGCAGTCTTTCAGGCCGGGCCATGGGCTGTTACAGGGGTTTTACATGCGGGCCTCCGGGGGGACACTGCCCTCACCACACCGGATTTGGGGTACAGCCAGGGCACTGCAGTCCCTGAGGGGAGTTGCAGTCAAGGAGGCAGGCCCCCTGGCTGGCCGAGCTCTTATGCGTAGCTGCGTTCCTAGCCCAGGTGCCTCCACACGATGCCTCTATCTTGGGGGCTGTCAACCGAAGCCTTGCCCAGATACCTTTGCCAAGGCCTCCTTATTGGGAGCCGCGGGGAGACTTTGCTCTGACTCAGTACTTTTCCACTCCTAGTCCTTCCCCCTCTCTATACCCCCAACGCGCACGCAAGTCCACAAAACAGCGAGGGAGTTGTGTTGGGGGATTCCCTCAGCGTTGAGATGAGTCTCCATCTGCAACGCATCTGGCCCCTGCCTGGCGCGGTCCCCAGGGGGAAATGGAACACGGGGGGAGCTAGCACTTTCTCCTTTGGCTTATTGCACCCCAGTAAGTGATTACAGGCTTGACCATTACTCTCCTGTTGGCTTGCTGTCTTAATGGCCTGCTGTGACACAGGGCAGCCAGCTGCTGACAACTTGCTCGGCCCACTTCTTTCAGGGCACCCATAGCAAGAACCTCCCAGGGCCCAGCTCTTCCCCGGACTGGCCTTGGCGCCCATGCCCCAGGCTGCCTGGCACCCAGCTCATCTCCCTCCCTGTGCCCTGCACCCTCCAGTTCCAGGGTCACGTCTTTTGTAATCTGACTCCAACTGCTTGCAACAAAGCTCCCATTGTGACCTCCCTATTTCCGCCTCAGAGTATCAGAACTTGTCATAGCGATGAGCGTGGCCAGTACTTGTTGAATGCCTGCTGAGGTCTAGGCTGAGTGTTTTACCAGTGTGATTTCATGAAATGAGTTCACATACTGTACTTAGAACAGTGCCTGCACGTAGTAAGGGCTCAATAAATGGTACCTATTTCCAGCCAAAGCACCACTGTCCCCTGTCAGGTAGGGACTGTCATTCATCACTCCCATTTTGGAACGGAGAAAACTGGGGCCCTGAAATGGCTGAGACGGTGAGTGACAAGGAGTGGGGTGGACTTTTCCACGAGGCAGCACTGCCTCTCGGGCCTGTTGTGCAAACTCCGTTGAATAAGAAACACAGTTCACAAAGGCCACCAGTTTGAAAGACTTCCATCAGAATACGTAGTTTAAAATGTAGAAGGTTTCGCCCAGGCTGGTGTGACTCAGTGGATTGCATACCAGCCCGTGAACTGAAAGGTCACTGGTTCGATGCCCAGTCGGGGCACATGCCTGGGTTGCAGGCCAGGCCCCCAGGTGGGGACATGTGACAGGCAACTGATCAGTGTTTCTCTCCTTCTCTTCCCCTCTCTGTAAACATAAATAAAGAAAATCTTTTTTAAAAAATGTAGAAGTTTTCGATGCTTGAAGTAGCAAGCTTCAGTGGCTGAGAGGTATTTTCATTTATGTTATTAGAAACCAAAATTCAACTGAGTACATTGGAAGATCTAATTGGTTTTAGTAAGTGATTCATGAGCAGGCTAGCAGCCCATCTAGTAACTAGAAGGGCACCCCAAGGGGCGGTGCAAAATGGAAGGTTTTTATAGGAAGAAGGGTGAGGGCAGGGGAGAATGTGTTATTCTACTAACAAAAGAGAGAAAGGATTATTTTTAGACCAGAACATCTCTTGGGGGGAGCGGATTGCCTTTTCTTTCTTTTCTTTTAAAGAATTTATTTATTTATTTTTAGAGAGGGAAGGAAGGGAGAAAGAGAGAGAGAGAGAGAGAGACATCAATGTGCGGTTGCGGGGGGCCATGGCCTGCAACCCAGGCATGTACCCTGACTGGGAATCGAACCTGCAATGCTTTGGTTCGCAGCCCACACTCAATCCACTGAGCTACGCCAGCCAGGGCTGCCTTTTCTTTCTATGGGGGGTGTGGGGAATGGAGTGGGCCCCGGTGGCAGATTACCTTACTGGTGCTTGAACAGAAAATTCTCGACTGATTGAGATTACATTTCTGGGAGGGATTGGAACTGCAGTTAGGTCAGGTAGTAAATCTAGGTTTGGTATCATGGGCTTTTAGCACAAGTGACGCCATTTTGGGCCTGGAATGATTCCTTTTAACAATGTAAAACTCCACATTTCAGAAAGGACTCCAAAAAAAAAAAATCATCCCTCTATGAGTGACGGTTCTCCACCAGCACCACCGATGTGTGTGAGTTTAATTCTGTTAACTCACCCCTTTTCCCTCAATATAATGAAGTCCGAAGCCTGAAGTGACTAGGGGAGGTCGGTGTTCCCTTTCAAGCGCCAAAACCAAAACTGTCTTCTAGACCTCTTCCTTTGACCTAGAAACTCTTCAAGGTCAGGCTCAAGTCACTTCTAGCTAATTTCAGTTCTACAGGCTGCAAGGTTAAAGTAGTTAAGAGCAATAGTTAAGAGAATGGGCCACCCCAGGAAGTAAGGTAGCTGTGTGACCTTAGGCAAATTGTTTCACCTATCTGATCCTTAGTGTTCTCCTCTGCCAATGGAGTCCAACCCTAGTACCTAATTCATGGGACGATTGCAAGGAGTCTACGAGGTAATACTTATAAGGCCTGGACAGAGTTCTTACGGTTACTAATTACCAGAGAGAGGAATGCCCAGGAAGGCTGGGATCCCTCCAGAATGAAGACCAGTGTTAAATGGGCATCTCTGCTGGGGGAACCTCCTAAGAACCAGCCCTTCCTGGGGCATGATCCCCATTCCAGCTCAGTTGAACTCTTCCAGTCTCTGAGACAAAGAGTTCCTGACCCTCAGGAAATATCAGAATCACCCACGGAGCTTGTTTCCTGCACATATTCTTGGAGCTGTCTCTTCAAGAGTCTTTTGCAGGTTTGGGGGGAAGCCAAGGGTTGGGTATGCTAGACCAACACCCCAGGTCACTCTCATTCGGAGACTAAAACACTGCCTTAGACCAGGAATAGGCAGTTTTTTCTATAAAGAGCCAGAGAGTAAACACTTTGGCTTTGTGGGCCAAAGGTCTCTGTCACAACTGCTCAGCTATGCTACTGTGGCACAAAAGCAGCCAAAGACATTAAGTAATAAAGGGCTGTGACTCTGTTCTAATAAAACTTTATTATACAGACAGGCGGGGGCCAGGTGTGCCCCGTGGGCCATGATGTGCCAGCCCCTGCTTTCTGCCAGCCTGTCTTGTCTTCTCTATATAACCAAAAAAAGACACAGGCGTGGGTGTAAAAAAGTGTATCTCTTTAATTTAAAATGGACCCGGAAAGAACCAGTCAGATTAAGTGATCCAGGCTTCCTTCTCCTGTATGTTCAATCGGAACAGACACGGTATCGGCTCAGATGGCCAACCCCAGAGAAAAACCAAAGCAAATCAAAAACCCTCAGGAAGCGCCGACAGCCACGCCGCTGGAGCCGTCGCGGCCCTCGGAAGGAGACACGCCCAGGTGGCCAGGGGCCGCTGCTTCCCAGCCACGCTGAGAAGAGCTGCTCCTCGGCCAGCCAACCCCTTCGCAGGCCTGCTTTCTCTCCACGGCTCTGTAGCTGGCCCTGCACACGTCCTCCACAGAGATCGGTGGCTCGGGGGTCACCTCCCAACCGTCTCTGGGGGCACCTTTCCGTGACTGCAGTGATGGAGCCGAGCCATTCTGAATGCACGTGCCCAGAAGGGCAGCACCTTCTTTGTTTAGCCGAGATCTGGAGCCTTGAGCTGGAACCGGCAATCACGTGTGGTCAAGGCACCAACAGCAAGACGGCAAACCTGGGAACTGGTCGGAAAAGGTGCCAGAGTCTCGGTAATGGAGTCAACTGATTTGGCTCTGAACATGGAACAGACGAATGCCATCTGGGTAAACTCCCCTCAAACGGGAGAAAGTGTCGGGACAGAACAGGGAACGCCACCTCTTTCAGGACTCCAGGGTCTGTGCGCTCTCCCACCGCACAGAAACCAAAGGTCCCCCTTCTTAGGTCGGTGACACTCTCACCGCAGACATTCAGGGCCAGCCAGGCCTGCAGACCCAGCCGGCCAGCCAGGGGGGTTCTCTAAGGAACTCAAGACTCTGAATGATGTGTGGACGTTGTCCAGCGTGTGATGCAGAGCAGGCTTTTTTCCCCCACCCAGATTTGGAAGTGTGCAGTCAGTAGAGAAGAAAGGAGGAAGGGCGTGGCCCGAGTGGCCCTGGGAGAACCTGGAGGCCTTCCCAGGAGGCGTTCGTGGGCAGAATAAATAAAAGTGGCTTGAAGCGAGGCTTCTGGAAGGGGCCCACAGGTCGCCACAGACCCTCTGCAGTGGGGCAATAAGTGTCCACACTGGCTTGCTTCCTCTAAAATGTACAGCACCCAAAGCCCGATGCTTGACCTGAGTCAAAAGCTGACGGGACAAGCCATACAAGGGCTGCCCGGGGACGCAGTGGAAGACCAGGTGGCAGCCAAGCCTCCCCCGCCATGCACAGCACTCCTGCGCCCGGCGGGCCACATCCTCGGTGTGTCGCGGAGGCAGCCCCGGGCAGCACCAAGGGTCCCTGCCGTGCACGGGGTGAGGAGGAAAGGTCACGGGCACTGAGTAGAGTCTCCTGAGAACGGAGGTGCGGTGAGGGGAACGGGTGGGGTTTCTCTGCGGGCCCAGTCACCCCACCTCCCACGGGAGGAAGGAGATGCCACCACGCTACTGCCAGCGCCGCTGACATCATCTTACTCAAAAGATGGCACTTGGGGGTGGGGCATTCAGCACAGACACCCCTCCCCTTGCTGTGTGGCTGTGTGACGATGCCCCAGTGACGGCCTTCCTTACGAGTGTCCTGACTGGGGCTGGGTCCTGTCACAAGCCCCGGCTCACGACAACACGTGTCCCATCACCAGCGCCTGACCAGTCTTCGGGTTCTTGACAAGGCGGCCGGAACGGTGGGGGTTAGAGGGCTTGGGTCCCAGGATCCCAGCAAGCCCCTCTTCCCAGTCTCCTCTCTTTCTTGAAAACAGCGGAGCTCCTCGATGTCTATTAAAGAGGGAGCTGTCCATGCCGCCGGCCCCAGCCGAAGGCCAGTCACAGGACCCGCTTACAAGACCACGGCCACGTCATCCCATCAGAGCAGACGGCTGGCTCAAAGCCTGCCCTCACTGGATGACGCTGTCTGGCTGCCCGTTCTGGGCCATCTGTCCAGGGTCCGAGGCGGGGGCAGGGTTGGGCGTGTTGCTCTGCAGGTAGCGGCGGAAGTCCTTGATCATGGGCCGGAGGACCTGGATGAGGACGCTCAGGGCCGCCTGGGTGCCCTCCATGGCCTGGGCCTGGCGCTCCTGGGCGCAGGCCTGCACCTCCTGCGAGCGGCGGATCATCTGCAGCAGGTCGTTCTGCTGCTCCAGGTGCTGGGCGATCTCCTTCACGTGCAGGTTGGTGACGCGCTGCTCCTGGATCAGCTTGGCCGAGTTGAGGGCGATGCGGCTCTTGAGCGCCTGCGGCTTGACTGAGGGGTCGGCGTGCTGGGTGATCATCTCCACGGGGGCCTCCGCCGGCAGGGGCGCGGGGGCCTCCGCCGTGCAGTACTCCACCACTCCCTCTTCCAGCGTGTGATAGGTGGTCTCCGTGGGGACTGCGGAAGAGCAAAGGCAGTGGCAGGTCACTTTCTAGAAAGACTGAAGCTGGCCAGTGGCGTGGGGAGGGAGACCTTAAGACCTGTGCTGGGGAATTCAGGCCTCCTCTGGCTTTATAGCTATTCATGTACCTAACTAAATCCAGACTCTGAGGAGTTTTAGAGTCTTATTCTCCTTGGTAACCAAAGGGTCAGTCCCAGATCTGGCAAAAGCAAAGATGCTAATGATAATACCAGCCAAAAATCTGGAGCGTGTGCCGTGTGCCAGGCACTGTGCTTAGTAAGCCCTTTGCACTCATTGGCTCGACGGATCCTCACGACACCCAGAGGTAGGTCATGTCACGTTCGTTTTCGGAAACGAGGATACAGAATCAGAAACACGGAGTGACTTGCCTAAGGCCACACAGCTTTTTTCAACAGGTGCAGGAAACCAACCCAGGTCTCCCTAACACCATTGACCATAGTGCTCAATACCACTCTGAGGGGCTGCTTCTGGCTGGCAAAGGCAGGGCCACCTGCTCGCCGTGGTGCCAGTACACAGCAGCCACCTATCTGCAGGAGCTGGTGGTGGCTGCACTGGTCCTACCTCCTTCAGTGCCTTTTTGACTGGTGGTCTCATTCAGCCAAGCAGAAAAAAGGGGAGGGACGGGGGTGGCCCAATCAATGCTTCCCTGTTTCCTTGATCACCCTGGTCAATGGTAATACCTAAAGGTCCTCCCTGTTCCAGAACATTAATTGATTTAGGCCATTGTTGGGTCCCCTGTCCCACCTCAATATTCTTGAGAAAGAGGGCACCGCAGGGGGTGGCACTCACACCCAATTCACCAAAGCCCCGCCAAGAATCAGTGATCAGTACAGCTCATAGCCCAGCCCAAAGAAGCAGTTAAACGGATACTGATGAAAACCCTTATCTGAACTAAAGAGTTCACCCCAAGCCAGCTCCATTGCTATTCACAGTTGAGAACCTTTGAAGGGATTCTCAGTGGACTGTTTGGGCCTCCACGCATAGGGGAAAAGGTCAGTCTTCTCCACCCTTCCATGTCACAATCTGCTGTGAGTCCCCACCCCAACCAAGAAGGTCCCTTTCTCTTCTGAGTTCTTAGGTCCTCCCAACTGACAGTGCAGTTACTCATATATGTCTTATCTGTCCTATTAGACTATAACCAGCCTTTGTCTTAGACAGTGTGGTGATCCCAGTGTCAAGCACAGGGTCTGGCACGGAGTAAGTGCTACTGTTTGATGAGCGAATGAATGAGATTAGTATCAGGAACCATGAGGCTCAACTGTGTCTTGAATGTTGGCCACACTGAAAACCCCGAATGTCTCTGTCCGGAATCCACGTCTAACTTGGACATTCCCATTCCCATCTATCCATTCCTTCAACAGATATACCCTGCCTGCCACTGTGGGCCAGGCCCTGTGCTAAGTTATCCTGTGGGGATATGACCATGGTCTCTGCCTTCAAGGACCACACAGTTCAGTCATGGAAATGAATGGTGGCAAAACATAGTTGAGAGCAATCCAGCTCATCAGCAGTCCAGACTGTGTGCTGAGGGAGGCCCAGAGAGAACAAGTTCACTTCTGTCCGGGGAGCTCTTGGAAGGCCTCATGGTCTTCCAAGACTCCCATCTGACTTTTGACCCTTTACAGTCAACCTTCCCCAGGCTGCCCCATCTCTTGCTGGCCCTTCCCATTTATGCACACTGGACTGGGCAGGAGAGGTCACTCACTCTGTGTCAGGGTGACCGTGGCTGTGGCTGCAGTAGCCGGGGGTCCGAGGGCCACGGGGTGGATCTCTGTGGTACTGGGTAGGCTGATGATGGTGGCCTCGCCCAGCAGATTGCAGATGCGCTGTTGCATGGGGGTGAGCAGTACCGGGGCTACAGCTGGGCCACCGCCACTACTGCTACCACCTGTCCCTGGCCCACCAGCTGCATCTTCCTCAGTGGGCCCTGGGGCCTCACCACCCTCCACAGCTGCCCGGACCTGGGCAACCTTGCGACGGACCTCGGTCTTGAGGTCAGACCACTTCTTCTTGACCTCGGGCAGCTCTCTGCGGCAGGTGGCCACAGCGTTAACCCTTCTCAGGATGCTGTGCCAGGCCGCGCTCTTGGCAGCCAGAGGGACCCCGGCGTTGAAGTGGTTCACCAGCAGGTGCTTCTTCAGTTCCAGCTCCTCCACGATGATCTCCACCTCTCGCTCAGAGAAGTTCATCTTCCTCTTCTTGGCTGGGACAGCCATGGCCTCTCCCTACCCCTTCTTTCTGAAGAAATTATAATCCCTTCAACCGTCCAATTCCCCTTCTCTTCTTCCACAGCCTCGCCGCTCACCCACCCCCCAACATGAGATAGGCTGGGCTTGCCCAAGGCCAAGCTCCAGGTCTTTGGTAAACCCCCTTGTTACGCAAAGTGCGTAGGGCCCAGCGCCGACCTGCCCAGCCGCTGCCAGCCAGCTGCGTAATGGCTTCCTGAATCTGCCTCTTCCGCCGGGGTGTGCGGAGATCCGCCCACTTCCCCTCTTCCCGCCTCCCAGCGCTTCACCAGGAGGACCAGCCCTCCCAGTTGGTCGCGACCCAACATCAAGTCGCTCACTGGTTCTTTTGATCTGTCGCTCAGCTGCAGGGCACGCCCACTTACTGGAATTGGCCTCATTGTTGGTCTAAAGGTGTGTCTTTCGCCGCAGAGCGCTCCGCCCACTGAGTCTTTATTAATTTCCAGTGAAAAATCGTTGTCTTTCAATCATCCGTATTACTATCACGCTATTAAATTCAGCTACTTTATTGGTGGTATAGGGGATTACATGATCAAAACCTGGCCTCCTGATGATCCCTAGTGCTTTCGGCTTGAGCCGTTAGCCAACTAATCTTTAATTCCACCCGGGAGCGCGAACGAGTTTTGAGCTTCAGCTCACAATTACTCCTCACACAACTCCTATTTTCCCACCGAAGACTACGACCTCTTCGTACACGACCTCTCCTCCCATCCTTACGATTCCGAAGTCTAAACAGAGTTACTCAATGGAAACTGGACACGGGGCCTTCCTCCTGCCCATCATATAACTTCTGCCTATAGCGGCGTGATTTCCTCTCTTCGGCCCGGCTCAGCCAATCCCCGCCCCTCTCAGTTTGAATCGGCCCCAGGCTGAGCCGGAATCACCCCGCTCTCTCCATTGATCCGAGCAGTCCGGGAAGATATGGGCAGTCCTTGAGGAGGTTCCGCCCCTCTAGGTGGTGGTCCGGGCCTGTGACTGGACAGCGACGAGCCTAGGGGCGTGGCCAGAAAAAAGGCGAGGCGGTGGGGCGGGGCTCCCGGAAGCGGCCCCTCCCTCCAGTTTGCCGGCATTTCGGAACCCGCGCTCGCCGACCGAGGATACCCGCGTGTCTTCCGCGTTCTCCTCGCCGCCCGGCGCCCCTGCCTCGCGCCCGATGGTGAGCAGTGTGTTGTGCCGCTGCGTGGCTTCCTCGCCGCCGGACGCCGCCGCCGCCACCTCGTCCGCCTCATCCCCGGCGTCTGTGGACCCGTGCGGCGGCGCCGTCTGCGGGGGCCCGGACCACCGGCTGCGCCTGTGGAGCCTCTTCCAGACGCTCGATGTCAACCGCGACGGCGGCTTGTGTGTCAACGACTTGGCTGTGGGACTACGACGTCTGGGACTGCACCGCACCGAGGGCGAGCTCCGGGTAGGCGGCGCGCACAGTCCGCGCGGTTGGGGAGGTGTCCCCTATTCGGGTCCCCGACTACGGGAAGGTTCGGGTGACAGTTCTGGGCCGCACGGTGACAGGTCTGAACGGCCTGGATTCGTGGGCTGTCCCCTGGAGCGTGGCAGGTCTACTGGACGGCCTCTTGGGCTGGGTGGGACCCCCAAGTAACAGATGAGCACTCTGTTTAAGTGCTGGTGGGAGCGGAGCTCCTTCTTGACCTCTGTGAGCGCTGGGGTCGGGGGAAAGGCTCTTCGTGGGCACAAGTGGGCACAAGTGGGCACGCTCCGAGCCTTCTGATGAAAGAAAAGCCCCTTCCTGCTCCGGCTTTCCCCAAAGTAGAAGGTCAGGTATCAGAAGCCTGCCTTTCCCCACCTCCCGACCTGAGGGCTAAGCTTGATGCACCCCCTCCCCACCCCTGATGGGTTCATCCATCCTCTCCCAGCCGCCCCCCTCCCTTCCCCTCTGGTTTCCATGCCAGCCCGTGGGCCCTGATCTGGTTCCTCTGAGAAGCATGTGGGAGTTGGAAAAATGGGAACTGAGGTTTTCGGCAGAGCTGTGACAGGTGTGGGTGGTGAGGAATGACAGCTCTCCTGGTGTAGGCTCACCCCTACCGACATGCCTACCCGGAGGATGGGGTTATGATCCCTTGCAGGGTTGCAGGTCATCAAGAATCTAGGGGAAAATACTGCCTAAAAGTGAAAGTGTTATGCACCCAGGAGGGGCTGCCTTACTCTTGTTCAGGAGTGGGCTCTGAGGGGTCGTGGGGGAACGGAGGAAGGCCGTCTCCGGGCCTGCCGGAAAGAGAAGTGCCGTCCATTCTTTATAAGAACCTCAGACAGAGGCCGTTTCCTCCCCTTCTCTCGTGGTATGCTTTTCCGTCTGACTTGGTAGCTGTCGCTTCCCTTTCCTGAGTGTTTCATTTGCTTGTGGCTTAGCCTGATTTGCAGCCTGGAGAGGACGGCTGAGGACTTTACCTAGTAACCTGTTTCTCTTCTCGGGCTGGTCCCTTTGTACATACAACAAGGAGAGAACCTCACAGCCAAGTGTGGGGAAAATCAGGTGACATGCCAGAGAGTTACAATAAAACAATTTTTTGTCGGGCAGGTGCACATGAGGCGTTTTCCACTCATGTCCAAGGTGCCTTGGATTAATATCCAAGGTCTTTAACCTACTTAAGATCTGCTTAGGAAGAAGACCAGGGGTAACCCTGTGCAAAAATAGAGCCATCGGGTTAAATCCAAGAGGTTTAAAGACAACTTTTAAAAAATGTAAGTTTTACACAAAGTGGCCGTGGGAGCTGAACATGTCCCCACATTTGCCTGATGAATAAATCACTTGGAAAGACAGCATGGCTAAATTCAGAGAGTCTGTTGTGCCTTATGGGCTCAGGGAGGTGTGGGCCCAGGTCTCCCTGTCTGCCTCTATGAACCTCCCCGCTTTGCCTATGCCGCCAGGTACGGTGAGGGCATCGGGCTGCCGGAGTGTGCTCGGTGTTTGTGGCCGTGCCCAGGGCCTCGACTAGAGTCGCCGCGATCCTGCGGTTTATGGCACACCTGATATCGGTCCTAATCCATTTTTTTTTTGGCAGCAGATTTCTAAGGGCAAATAAGGAGAAAGCTGCTGTTCTCCTTTCCAGTGTTGAAAGAAGGCTTTTTGATTAACCAAAAGCTGCCTAGCCCCTTGGTCACAGTGTCTCTGAAATGTGTTGACTTCGTGACTGATCCAAGATCTGTGCTGTGAAACAATTCTTTTTTATTCCTTTGGTGTGTGGATGTAGCATGGACTGTATTTCTACAACTCGTACAGCTTTTGATTCAGTTCAATTATTATGCCGCTTTGAGAATGGGAATGATCTGTTTTATTCGTTTGTTACCTGCAGAGGAGTACAAGTTAGGCTTCTGGCGAATGGTTTGAGTATTCTGTTAAGAGAGAGAGCCTGCTTTGTTGTAAATAACCCGGCAACAGGAAGGCACCCTGCCCCACGGACCCCCCATACCGCTTCCTGTTGAAAGAGTATCTCAAGTGCGGTGCTGCCGTTTTGCAGAGGTAGCAAAGCCAAAAGAGAATTGAGGGGCCCTTTTCTCCAGAAGTGGGTCGTCTGCCATGGGAATAGGTGTTGAAAAATGCATCATTAAACTTTGGCAGCTGCTCCATGCGACCCTCAGGACCAACCAGTCTGCAATGCTAGGGTTCGCTCAGGAATCTACGGTTCTGAGGGCTTGTCAGTGGGTGATGGGTGAACCCAAGCCACGTGACCGTCAAAGCCTCTTGCTAGTTTACAGCAGGTTGGGTCAAGTTTTCTTTAGAAATGAACTTCTTTAGCAGTTTTTGGCACCTGCCTTTTTATATTTTCCCCCTCCCAAAAGACACTGGGACAGTCGAGGAAAAATTACCCAAAGCGGAAGTGGGCAGAAAAACTGATGGCAGCCAGCCAGGGAAATTTTCTTTGTAAAGGACTTGTGAGCGAGGAGCCCGGCCTGGGACAAAAGAAGGGAAGGGTTTATTAAAGAACGAAAAAAGATGACGACAGCGGCAGTGACTTTGGGAAGGGAGGCTTCAGCTGGAGCTAATTATAGCATTCCTATTTAAGGCATTTTCATGTGACCAAACAAAATCCTTGTCTTAAAAAACAAATTTAAAATAAAGGTTATAACTCAGGCAGCCAATCAGAGGAAGAATGCAAGCTGGGTCAGAGGTCAACAGTTGTTCCTCTGGCTGAGGCTTGTGGGGCTCCCCTAAGGGGCGGCTGGGCTTTAGCACAGACGAACAGGAAGATGGTGTGATTTGCTGATTTAGAGACTTGCATGCATGTGCACCAGCTGGTTTAAGCCTCACAATAGCTTTGTGAAATAGACAAGGCAGGGATTTCACCTCATTTTACAGAGGGAGGAACAGAGGTTCAAAAAGACTATAAACACAGAGCAACCTCAAAACTCATTTGATCGGTAAGGAATTAGACCAGAGGAAGGACTGGGACCAACCTCTGGGTTGGGCTCCACTCCGCTTTACCTGTCCCATCGTTTCCACGGAACATGATGAGCGTTCGCACCTGGGCTTTTGGGAGAACTAGAGAAAGATGAGGAGAAACCAGTTTAGAGAACCACGTCTGTTTCTCCCGAAATAGGTTTCAAGATGATCCAGAGATTAGCCTGTCAAAGAATGAGAATCCACCATGCCCTCATTTCTCCTTGACCTGCAGGCAATCAGAGATTGCCCATGAGGCAATCTCTGTTGACTCGAAATAATTAAATGGAAGATCATTAAGGTCAACTTGGTGTTGCTTAATCAGACAGCACTGTTAAACTCTGCACCTTTAAATGTGTGGCCATTTGGGAGGAAGCTGGATGTAGATAAGACAGTCTACAGGAAAAAAAGCCTTTTTTCATAGAAAAGGGATAGATGTCATTTTTAAAAATATATATTTTATTGATTATGCTATTACAGTTGTCCCATTTCCCCCCTTCATTCCCCTCCACCCTGTATACCCTCTCCCCCCCCCCCACTTTAGTTCCTGTCCATGTGTCATACTTACAGGTTCTTTGGCTTCTACATTTCTCATACTATTCTCACCCTCCCCCTGTCTATTTTCTACCTACAATCTATGCTACTTATTCTCTGTACCTTTCTCCCCTCTCTCCTCCGCCCACTTCCCTGTTGCCAATCCTCCATGTGATCTCCATTCCTGTGGTTCTGTTCCTGATCTAGCTGTTTGCTTAGTTTCTTTTGGTTTTGCTTTAGGTGTGGTTGTTAATAA